ATGACCATAACTTTAATGTAAACACCCAAATACAACATACAGCAAGCTACACTTCCATGTAAATTGTTCTGATGCTAAATTGCTCCCAAAATTTCAATTTGTATTTTTGTAACCTCTCCTTCCAATTTTCTAGGCCTTGTTGCTCTTGTTCTGCCAGACTCTCTCCATTTGAGACAAGCTATTGAATGCTGAAGAAAGGGGTATGAAGGATCCAAAAAAAGCCAGTGACACATGGTTTGAAACTGAAAAGGGGAGATTAAAAATACATCTTGAGCAATGGAAATCTAAAAAAGTTTGTTAAAAGCAAGACAAAGCAGAACTTGTGGGTAAGAAATTCTATTCTTGTGTTATTTACAGTCATTAAGCATAAAAATATTACACCATGCCCAGAAAATTTCTTAGCCATAAGATTGCTGGAGGCTGGGAGAGAGCAGGAACTTCAGAACTTGCCCAGTTCTCCTACTGTTCCCTGGGATACGCTGTTGGCTACTGCCAGAGACAGAACACAGCGACACAGATCTGGATCCTCCATCTCCAACAGGACCCAGGTGAACTAAAAAAGGTTTGGAGAAGGATGACAAGGATAAACAAAAGCATTGAGCAGATAACAGCTAAATTTACTGAAAAACTCTTCACAACTAAGCAAAGATGTCTGAAGGAGAGGTCTGAAAGAGGTATGTAATGTCATGAGTGGAGAAGGGAAAACAAGGGCAGCTTCCATTCACTCTGAATAAATATATTCAGCATGAAATCTCACTGCGAAAGACACAAACCTACTACAAAATAAACTCTGTAAATTTACTCACTACCTTGAGATCACACTCTTCTTTATCTTTTTGCAGATTTTCACTGATATTAGCAAACATTTGCTACCTGCAGGACTGTCAATTTTTAGAATAACAATTTACTGAAATTTAGTCTTCAATCTTCTCCAAATAAATTTAAAAACACTAACTCAGAATGCAAATTTTTCAGAAGAAGAGCATTTCACATCAGGTATAGGACAAGGAAAGACACTCTGAGCATTGTAGTATGAATAAGAACTGAATACTGTAAATAGCAAAACTAAATCCCCCTGTTTATAACTCCAGGAACCTCAAGAGGTCCCTTCCCACCTAAATGATTCTGCGCTTTTGCAAAATGGACAACATATCAGCACTTCCATTATTGTAAGCTCTTACCTGTGAGAGCACAATCATCTTCTCCAAGATTTATCGTGTTTAATCCTGCCTTTTTTATACATCTGAGACTTCTCCTTCCACTTGTTGGGTACTGTAAGCCGCAGCAGTTTTTGTTAGAAAGTTGCTCCGAAATGTCCAAGCCCACATCACCACCCCTTCCAGTTAGCATTTGTGATCTCTCATCTCCATTTGCATTTCTACTACTGGATCTTCCCAGTTCGTTTCTCTGACATTTGACATCCTCATTGGTCAGATCTGAAAAGTTTTTCAGTATTCCATCTGACTGTGTTTGAAATCTCATGCCTAAACAATGTTCTGGAGCAAGCCAGGGAGGCTTCTGCTTACTGGAAGTAACTTGATTATTCTCTGTTACTTGGGAAGATGACTGTAACCAAGAAGGAATTGCACCTGTAGAATCAGAGAATTTTCTTCCTGTTACCTTTTCCATTTGCTCACTCAAAGTAAGTTCATCATCAGATTGATCATGCTCCTTAGCCGCTTGTGCTGTTGCATTCTCTTTGGCATCCTTCATACAAACCTGAGATGGTAACACTTTTAGATCACCTGCTAACTCAGACAATTTTTTCTTTGTAAAGCTGACTGAGTTCATCTTCTGCTCAAGAAGATTTTCTTCTGGCAGAGATTTCCAGTTTAGTGAAGTATTGCTTGACTGTAAGCATTTAAAATGTAGGTCTGCTTTCTTCTCTGTGACTGCAGGTGCATTTACTACTTTCCTTTCATCTGAAGAAAATGCAGAGATATTCTGCTTGTGATCTGTAAGGTCAATTGTAGTGCTGTGGTCAGCGAGGAGATCTCCAGAGGCTCTCTTTAATTCATCATCAAATACAAGGTTCTCATCAACATATAACTTCACCTTCTTTGCTCCAACATCAAGGTCCTACAAAAATAAAAGTACGAAGATTTCAATTAAGCTGTTCAAGCATCAGATATCGCTATTTTGGAACTCCGACATTTGAACACAATCAATACACAGATTAAAATGATTAAAACCCTGTATCAGTAGCACGTTTTTAACTACTTTTTAATCAAAAGCTCAAACAACTCAATACCGTTGAATATTTAAGATTTTATTCAAAAGGACTAGAAAGCCTGCTAAATACTACTAGGAGCCATTTTAGCTGACAAGGCTTAAATATTTAGAAACGTTTGAGCAAAGAAGTCTGGATTAAGTATAATTATATTTGATCAGGACATAAATTCCAGAGGCACATTTTGCTTCAACATCTTTAAGATTCACCATTTTCACGACATGTTCCACAGCGATCAACCACCCAGATCAAAGCCACTAGAGTTAAAAAGAGTTATAGGGAGTTATAGAAATACAGGGCTGGAAAGGACATTTAAAAAAAAAAAAATATAATAAATCATCCAGTCCATCTCTTTCCACTGAAGAAAATAAAATAACTTATACCATTGTGAAGAAATCTGGTTTTAACAGTTTTCAAATAATCTGCCTTGATAACCTATTCCAACACTTAACTAGCCTCTTAAATAGAAGGCCTTTATCTCAGACAGAACTCTGCCACTCACAACTTTGTATGTTCTCCTTTTCTGTGGCACCCGCTGAAACCTGATTTTCTCCTTCCATTAAAATTGGAACTAATGTTCTTTCTATTCTCTCTGTCATTTCCATCTAATCTTTTCTCCTTCTTGACAAAAATACTGGTATCTTCAAAGAAAATTGAGAAGATGAGACAAAATCCACGTCCTTTCTGCCCTCTAAATTTCAGTAACGTGTCCACCACGTGGAGTCTTTACAGACTCTGTTCTTTCCTTATTTTCATGGAAACAGAGAAGCTTTTCATGAAAGTAAGAAGTTTCAGTTTCTTCCCTCTTGCTCATCTCCTGGATGTCAGTTCTTCTTGAATATTGATTTAAATTTTCCTCCATTCCCAGCCTAAACCAGTTACTCCTTCACCTTCAAGTACAAGTGTCTCCAGTTCTTCACTCCTGCACGCACTCTTTACAGCTTACAAGTCTTTATAGCTTCAAGTCTACTGCTTTCCAAACAATATCACGTATGAGGTGAAAAATGTAATATGGACCTACACAGGGGGAAAAGCAGAAGATGCAGGCATAACAAGGTGTAGGAATGCGAGACACATTCCTGATAGAAAAAGATAACCTTCACCAACTTCTCAGGGAACAGCTGTAAACCCAGTTTAATTGGCCATTATGTCATGGCTGCCTGTGTTACTCCTAGAGTATCATAAAGTGCTATATGCCTGTACTGATGCATTTGGCCATAAAACATGATCTTTTCTTCCCCTTCAACAAGGACACTGCCAGATTAATCTAACTGGGGATCAAAACACTTTAATAATTACATCTATTAAAAACTAAATACATAGCTTTGCCTGAAATTATGATGGGGAAGAGAAAGACTATCAGGATGCCCCAGCAGTGTTATTTTTTGAATCTCTGTATGTCTGGACTGTTAACTTCCTCCTTAAATGGTAGAGATATCAGATATTCACAGTTGGATTTGAGATAACTGCAACATTTCTACGTATCCTAGCCTCTACTGTTGTTAGGAATACTCAAACCTTAGTTCTGTATTTTTACCTGGGAAGAGATATAAACTGCATGAAACCACATAAATATACACATGTATATTTTGAAAAGTATTTATCAATTTCATCTTTTTAAATTAAAATCAGCAACCTCTTCAGAGCAACATGTTTTTAAATTAATCCCTCACCAGTACTGGAGGAGGACAGGTAAACAGAGAAAACATTATAAAATGAGATGGTGGAGCTGATTCGCCCTGAAAGAGGAACAGTCAAGCACAGAAAACGGACAGTCACGTCAAAATTACTCTTCCAGTCAGTGGGAAATGACTTCCTGTTCTCTGATGTCTTGGAATGTCTGGAATAGGTACTGTAGGAAGCAAAAGAGGTGTCCGGACTGTATCAAGATGAACCAGCCAAAGTTACAGACATTTCTAGGACAATAGAGACAGACTGAATTGGGGCAGTCATTAATAACAGCTGATCGCTCAGAAGAACCATCTATTCATGAAGAAGCAGTAGAAGAGCTAATGAAAATCTCTTGTATCCAAATTCTAAGCTGCTGAGGCTCAGGGAGGAAAAATATGAACGGATCTCAGGGACTCCAAAAACAAACATGTGCAGACACAAGACTAAGAACTGCTCTTTTTCATTCCCTCCCACTCCTCTTCTAAGCTTCCAGTTGCCTAGTGACCAGATGGGGAGGGAAAGACTGACAGAATGGTTACTTCCCTAGTACCACTGCGCAACTCTCCTCAGGCTCGAGGAGGTTGGAGAAATCCCTTCCTCATGAGTAATTCCATCAAAAAGCCAACCTGTAAAGAAACACTTAATACTTCATCCAAGGCAGGTTTTTTTTCCTCCCAGAAGAGTAATTAGAATGGCAGAATGTCTCAGACCAAGCAAGTTGGTATAATCAATGTCAGACAGAAAAAAATGAAAGATTTTGTGAAAATAGTTCTACAGTTTCTCTTGATGTTCCTTCCCGGCTTGCACCTTCAGCCCTCACAGAGTGCCTGCTGGGATAGCGCTTTCCAATGAAGCAACAGGGATGGTATTTCTGGCCATTTCAGTGATATTTGTGAACAAAGGACAAAGCTTAAAACCAGAGGCTCTTTTCTGTGAATTACACTTGGACAGACGACTTGAAGCTGCCTGTGCCTGACTTCCCACAGAAGTGTGAAAAAGAAGGAGCAATAGAAAATGAGTCAAGAACCAGAAGAAAAAAGTTCTATAAACCTAACTGTGCAGGAACAAAACTGCTGCATCCTTACAGACCACGTACCCCAGTGGCAGTCCAGCACTGAAAAAAAAATTCCCAACTCAAGAGAACAGACATGAACATACACACAGGAGGAACACAGATATAGGCAATTGCTTGAAGAAAAAAATGATCCAATTGGAGAGCAACTAAGACCTTCACACATTTAAGTATTAATTCCATTCACGGGCTGATGAAGACATACAACTGACACTATATTGGATCTTATGAAATGATTTTTAATAGCATCAAGTACTAATGATGCAATTTCAAGGCTGTAGCAAGTATTTACAAAATGTCTGAATATTTCAGACAAACTTGAAAAGAACTGGCTGCCCTTACTTACACTTAATCTCTTCTTGCAGACTAAAAATTACCTCCTTTTTCACAGACCTCATTTGAAATAAATAAAGGCAAGATGAAGCATTCTTTGAGACCTTCCCTGTAATTCAATGAATCAAGGAATCTATGACAATGATGTAATCTGACTTTTACAGCTTCCTTCAGACATATTTTTTCTACTTCCAGACTCAATTTCTAAAACTCCAACATACAAAAGTACTGGCCTGAATTAATTTTTTGCCTATTTCTGAAGAAGTACTTGGGCATGTCTCACATAGTTTTTTGAGGGAAAGACGGAGGTTAGAATGACTACTGAAAAAACACACAGAAATATGGCTCTGGATTTACATTATCAGGAAGAAAATTGTTAGATAATTGTATCTTTAGGTTTTATACTTCTCAGACAAAACTTCCTTGTGACAAATTACAGAATTAGGTAGAACTGCTTTGTATTATTCTTTCATCTTAAGGATAATGAGACATTTCTTTCATCAGTGTAGACCGCTGCACTGCCACCAAAATCCATGGGATTATACTCCTAATGGATTTTACAGCTTACCTCAGAGCAGTGTATTAAAAAACAGTGCCTTGAAACACAGAAATAAATTTATGTGTATGTCCTGCATTATATTCAATAGGTTTGGTAACAAATCACACTATTACCTCCAAAACCAGCAGTCCCTTTCACAGTCTCTAATGATGACAGAACATTTTGTAGCCCACATTTTAATAGAAAAAGATATTAAAATCCCAGAAAATAAATATAAATCATGTTTAGTAAATTTGTTTAAGCTGTCCCTTCCATGGTCATTTCCCTATGTATAAATTACCATATGTGCTTATATAAGAACATGGATGAGAGCAAAACCAGAAGGATAAAGCCTCTTATTTATAAGCCAGGACAGCAAATCCTCTTTCATCCAGTACCTGGGATTTTTTTCTTAACATCGCAGTGTATAAACAAGAATAATTTTCACGGTGACATTCAAACACATAAACAAGAGACCATCTGCCATGAGATGTCTGATTGTAACACTAGATTACTTGTTTTATTATGAACACACAGTATACTTCTTAAATGACAAAACCAAAATCGAGCAACAGTCAGACTATTTATACTTATACACATGAGAAAACACATATTTAAACGGGTATTTATTTATATTGTGATAAAACAACTGAGAGTCCTGAATAAAGATGCACTTACCTTTGTATCTTTTTCTCACCACAGTAAAGGATTGTGACAGAATATGCAAGCCTTTTATTATGAATACACAAGAATATGCAAGTCTTTAGAGATCTTTAATAGCTTTGAAAGAAAATGCTCATTGTGCCTATGAAAATGATAACATTTACATTGCTACCACTTACAATCAAGCCAAACGCAAATTTCACAGTAGATATGGACTTCTCCTGGTTCCCTACTTTATTAAAGAAAATGATATCTACTTTTATTTCATACTTTTGGAAAGAAGATCAAAGTGAGTTTCACTAGGCAAGGTAGAGCATACATACACAGGAGTTGAGAAAAGACTACTTACACTGGGAGTTGTTGTGTTGTAATTCCAAATCTTGATCTTGGATATACCAAAGTCATGTGACCGGGTGGGATTGCGGACAACAAAGTAAAGTTGGATGGGCGGATGGAAAGGGCACATCCAAAGAGAGCTTTCCTTCGTGATCTAAAAACACGTACAAGCAGACTGTCACTAATACTCTTTCCTCTAAAGCTGGATATTTTAATTAACTCACCACCCCACAGAGAAATATACATTGATTGGAAAAATAACCATTTAATAAAATCTACTACGTTAAGAGCAAAACCTTAGCCTCATTTCCAAACAGTAAATCCGACTCTCCTGCCTGTAAGACAGCTCACAACAACCTGACAATTAGATAAAGGTCAGCTGCTTGCTGTCCCAATAAGACATCTGCATGCTCACAAATGACAGGCAGTCTGCCATGCTTTGTAACTGCAGGGTCAGAGCAAGCCCAGTTTATTTTAATCAAATTAATCAGCTTTGCAAGCACTAGAGGGGATCACTGAGCACAATGGACACAGTATAATCATTTCACAATTTCTTAAAGTGCTTACACTTCTGTTTTGCCCTCTAAAGTGGGGAACTTTATTTCACTACCTCTATTTTAATCAGGCTTTGCAGACGACTAAGTTTACTTAGTCTATTCCTAGAGCTATATATAGGACTCTATACTTGAAATTTTCTAAGATACCACAGAAACTCTCTACACAAATTTTACAGACAACTGACAATTAAGACATTTCAGAGTCCCAAAGAATGCCTAATTCTGGACATTGTTCAGAGCTGCTGTGTCTACATGTTCAGAAATGGAGGAAAAGGATGTGTAGCAGCTCAGAAAGAAGCAAGGAGGAAAGAGTTTCAGAATCAAAATGTTGAATATTAATATACTTGATGTCAAATGTTACCCCAAAACAGCAATGAACAAGGGCACAACATGCAGGCAACATTCCAGTGATATGAGATCAGCAGATAAATTAGCTTCCCTTCTATTTTCACAGATGCACTGTACATACAGTCACTCAGTAGGTACACAAAGTCCGTATTTTTCCATATCCTTTCACTTTAAAGAGAGTCTTTAGGAATATGCAGCACAAATGAAATTATGGCTGTATGAAGGGCTATGAACATTCGCTAATCTTCTCAGTAGCATCAGAATTTCATACCAGTTATTGTCTTTTATGCATTGTCTTTAGTATGTAAGCACCTCACGTCTCCTCATCTTACTGTCTCACAGAAAAGCCATGAAATACTTTTACCATGCCACACACTTTTCTTAATCTCTTGTTCAAACTACCTATGCATTCTTATTCTTCCATAATTCTGCCCTAGGTGAAAGGGTAACAAGGGGACAGGAGAAATTAAGCATGTTTTCTTCTTTCTTTAAGTTTACGTAAATTCATATTAAACATCTGGAAGAAGTTAGCAGTGAAGCTGCTATACCTTCAGATCACTATCTATCACCAGACATGCTGTAAAAATGTGAAATTCCCTGTCCTTAAAGTTTTGTGATCTCGTTCTACAGATACCATGATTACATTACAATACTTGAAAACTGGAATGTATTCTTTCATCCAAGACAATACTACAGAGTCAATACATAAGGAGGCAGAGTTAAAGCTGCCTCCTTCCAGTTGCTTAGTTAAGTAAGTCAGGTAAATTAATCAAGATCTGTTCTAAAACAAAATCGTAACTGAATAGCAACATCTTGGACGGGAAAGCTGGATTGGTTAATAATAGGCAATATTTGTACTTTTAAAAATTATCAGATAGTTGTTACGCAAGTCAGGTTAAAAATGCAATCATGTTTCTAAACAAAAACCCTAATAATACAATATCGAAGAAACATTATAATGAGAAATTTTCACATCGAGGACTAAGCCGTCTTACATTAAAGTTCTTATTGACCAAGCAGCACAAATCCCATGGGTTATCAGCATTTCGAACGTCCACATCATGAGGAGACACAAATATCTTTTCGTTGTATAAATCAAAGAATTCCACCTTGCTCAAGCCCACGTTTACTGGATTTCCCCAGTTAGAAAGTAGTTCCATAGTCACATAAATGGCGTCACGTACTTCCATACTGGTCGTTATCTGGACCAAAATGAAATATGGTATAAACATAAGTGACAAAACAATAAAATGCGGAACAAAATAAAGACTGTTAAGACTACAATATTGACGAGTTGGAAGCAAAAAGCTTACAAACTCAAGGGTATCTGGATGACATTCAATCATTCTGGGTTCCACCAATTCTGTCCCACATCAACAAATAATCTATGGCAGGGTCAGAGAAGAGAACTTACCACCCTCTTACAAAGCCTAAGGAGAAAACAGCTCTCTGTTCTTTGCCCAATTCCTTTGTCATTCTGATGAATCAAGCAACAGTGATAAATTCTCTTCTTGTACCATGCCATAGGTTTATTAGTTGACATGAGGCAGAATCAGCAGAATACAGACCATTTAATGTACTTTTATTTCAGTAATATTGGGAAGCATCAGTTTGGTGCATATATACACAAACCTTCTCTCTCAACACAGAATCTACTTCAGATTTGTCAGCAGACAGGCATATGTCATTGTCACAGGCAGAATGGCTCACAGGCTCGGGAAGGACCTTCAGAAGGTTCTCCTGTTGTCTGAAACATACATAGCCTTTTATGTGTTACTTCTTATATTTTTAAGAAACAGTTTAGTTGGTGTGAAGGTGAAGAGATGATAGGATGAACCCACACACCCCACAGAAGGATCCCATGTACCCCCCCACTGAATGACAACTGTTGCAGCACCCCGCCTTGGATACTCTGAGTTTGGTTAAAAGACTGGGCTGCAGTTCTCAACTACTTCTGAGGCAGTCTGAGAAAATAATACATAGGTAATATAAAGACAAACAGAGGGAGATGTCAGCTGTTCCCTGATCCACAGAAAGTCGCCTAAGGCTGGAACCTTCTCCCTGATTTGCTATTACCTGCATGATGTCTCAGGTATCTAAAGATTATCAGGTGTGGTGGTACTACACTACACCTGGTGGTATACTGAAAAATATCTCTTCAAAAAAGGAAGCTAGCCTTAAGGGAAATACACATACCTGCTTCCAAAAGGAGAAATTCTCTCAACAGTTTTTGTGACTGCAGTCCTTGTCTCACTTTTTTCTGGAGGTTCAGCCATTGCAGAAACAATAGATGAAACAGAAAATTTCTTCTAAGTAAGAAAAAGATGAAAACATTTCATTCACACTGTTCTCCACATACCGATGAGTATCAATCTGCACCTCTGGAATAAGTAAGAGTTTGAGCCTAGCTCTGGTCTCAGGCAACCTTAGCTAATCTGTAACTCCATACCGAGTTAAAGCACATTTAACAGAATTGGTCTTGATTTGCAACGAAAGAGCGAGCTTGAAGCTTGAGCTTCTATGCGGAAGAAAAGAATGTAAAAGCATTCTCTGATGACTGTTAAAAAACCCCAAACATATATATCTGAAATCTCATTGTATACATTTGGTAGGACTCAGAGTTAGCCCAAGCTTTGGCACAGGTCTGCCTAGAGTTTCTCCTTCTCGAAAAAGCATCATAAAGATTTTTAAACTCAAAAAAGATCCGTTTTATTAGAATAAAATCTTGATTTTTTTAAATATAGAACTCTCAGTAGTGACCATCTAAGAGAAAGCACAGGAAAAGTCCTGCAGTTCTTACCATACTTTGAGCTCTTTCTCTGCCTGTACCCACTCTGTAAGTATACCCTACTCCCTTTGTCTTTTTTCCTGAAAATTTGCTGGTAGCTTCTGTCAGAGACAGAATGCTCATCCCAGAGAACTAGTCAGATGAGGAATGGCAGTCCTTCTGTTCTTAGGTCACTTCCATTTCTATAATTTTTGAAGAGTAAGAGAACTTTAAAATGCTTAGAAGTTAATTACTTTTTTAGTATTAGAAATTCAGCATTGTTATACATTTAAATATCAAAGGCCAAGTTCCACAATCCCTTAATTGTGTAAGCAAAATTAATTACTTCTGGAAGATCATTTAGGTCAGCTTTAAGACTGAGAACTCACAGTGGGTTTTTGAAACTCCATTTCAAGTGTCAGGGTAAAATTACATCTATTTTGAGTATTATTTCATTATTTTTCCTTTAAGCACAACAATATTAAAATTAGTCCTAATGTTAGCAGGAAGATAGTTATGTGATAATATTCAATGGAATTTGTTCTCTCAATCACAAAGCTATAAAGACCTCAGAAACAGGAGGAAGAAGATTGAAAAGTTGACCTAGATGGTGAAATCATACGTAAAGTACTTAGCTATAGTAAAAGAACATTTTCACCTCTGCTCCTGCCCCAGAAACCTAATGTTGGCTCAGCAACAACAGCGGATACATATTCACCATAGTACCAACTCAACTCCAGGGAGCATCAGCTTAGGTTAAAGTGGGCAGCTGACCTGGAAACTCTCAGAATTCAAATGAGGAACTCCAAGAATGTCTAGACATATCTCTTTTCCGTTGTTTAAAAATGAATCTCCTAAACACCAAACTGGAAGCAGACTTTAAGTCCATGAACACTGCCCGTAACAGATAGTTTTGTAAAAGTCAGTTTATGCTCAAATTTCTTTATGTACTTTCTTTCTGTTAGGAGAAATGTATTATTGGTTATGCTCAAAGTTCAGCTAGGATTGTCAAAACAAACCTCCTTGTTCTTTAACTTAATGGTCTGACCTGAACCAGAAGGGAATGTATTTTTGTTGATTTCCTTGTTTACGAGTTTTTGTTTTTCAACATGGTTGCTGGAAAAGAGATGTACACACATGGGCACAGAAAATCCATACTAGCACTAAGAGCTAGCAGAGTACATGACAGCTCTGCTCCAAAAGCAGAGCCTATATTAACAGGGAACAGTGCTGATATTAATGAGCACAGTAGGAAAGCAGGATTTATTGGTATGGAAATCACACGTTATCTTGTTTAAGAAGCTTCCAGAATGAAAATGGCGCAAATCGGGCCTGCAGCTGTGCGTTTGACTGTACAGACATATTGTGTGACTGGTCCATCAGTTGCTCAGCGATCCCTGAAATCAAGAGAGCTGTGGGATGCTATCCTGAGGAAGCAGATTAAAGAAAATACCCTGTGGAAGAATAACACAAATTCAATCACGCTTAAGAGGCATCGCCATCAATTCATACACAATCTTAACGTATAAGAGATTGTAATTCATGGGGGTTTTGCTACTTGATCAAACAGCCCTCTTCTGCAGTTTGCCATACCTTTTGAGGGCTTGTGGAAACTGTCTGCCTTTGCAGATCTCTCTGCAAAACTTCATTTTCAATTTGCATTGCTTTAACCACAGCTGAAACCGAGAGATCAGGATCCTTCTCACACACATTCTTTCGAGCTGCTGAAAGTGGTCTTTCTGGTCGACTTAATGGTCCTGCCACCAAAAGAAGGAAGGAATATTCATTTGTCTGGACATACAAGTATGGAATATGGCAACAGCATGTGTTTGGAACATCTGACTCAGGTACTGACACAGGGCTTTGCTAGCAGTCTGTAACCATCCCAAGCAAGGCTGAATTACTCCAATTTGGTTTTGTATTAAGATTCCAGGTCACATATACTTTAGACAACAGCTGAAACAGTGTCATAAGAGGAGGAAAACTGACAAACGAGAAACATAATTTTTATGCTTTAAGATTTTTTGTACTTCCTTTGTTCCGGTATTTAATGAAAATGCTTTGTTACAGTTCTTGGAAAAAGAAGTATATATAATTTCAGCACACCAGAATTTTTCAATGTAACTGGGCTGTTGAGCTATTTTGGAGGAATCCCCAGAGTCTTCTAGCAAAACAAGGGGAGTCAGGGGTTGCTATTTACAAGGCAAAATAAATGACCTTATGACTTTAGTAGTCACCAAAATGCCCATATGCATCCAAATCTTCCCGAACATCACGGAGAAACAGAAACGTCACAGCCTATAAACAGGCTTAAAAGAAAGGAAATAAAATTTAACAATAGAGGCTCTGAGATTGGACTAAAAGAGAAGCACAGCGATTATATTCAAGGGTTTCAAAAATCAAAGGAAGAAAAGAGACTGAAGTTGTACAGACATTTAGAGCAAGTGAAAATATTGAAGAACAGGCTGATATGCAAGCGTGCTCATAATGCTGCAGTGAGGTTTACTAAGCAGGAGAGTAAAAGTGCAGTGGATGCCAGTAACGTGAAGTCTACCTTGAAAAGACGGAAAGTTAAAACTGAACTGAGATTTGCACGCATTCATGCTCCTCAGGCCCTATGCCATCTACACGCACAAAAGCTTTCAACAAGTATTAGTCATCTCTGCAAATACAGGGACAGAATAAAGTTCTTTTTATTCTTCTGTACTATACCATCCCCCTGAAATGAACTTAAGTATTTAAAGTGATAGTTTGACAGAAACAGCTCTAACAAACACTATTATAACCTGTGAAAATGCCACACACATCTTTGGAAAGCAGTCAAAGCAAGCATCTGCTCAGACAGATGGTGGGTGAGGGTCTCAGAAGCTACAAAGAGGATTTATTCTGAAGCCAAAAAGCATTAGCTTCCTTTCCTCAGCTTGGTTTTCTGCCAATTAAGAAACTAATATTTTGACTTTTCAAAACAGTTAGCTTTATTGTTCTCTTGTGACACATCTGCAGTTTCCTTGTTTGAAAAGAGTGTCTTAACCACAAGTATGGTAAGTCTGAAAACTTTATCTCAGACTTTTCAAAAAGGGTTCACCAGACTTGTTCACTTAAGGACTGTGCTGAAATAACAACTGCAGCCATGATTTCAGCCCCTAGATTTGGGGGTTGGGGGGTTTTTTAGCCCAGGTAAAGAAGACACCTTAAGAGCAGATTTCTAGAATAAGCAGCAGTGCCTTCAAAATGGTGTTCTCCAGTCCAGGAAAAACATTTTCCAGTACGGTGCTAGATACTGGCATATCTCCAGCACTGGAGGCTGATCTGCAGTGTTGAAGATGTAATTCAAATACAGTCCCAAGCAGCAACGGAGCTAGTTCTGCTGTCCTGTGGAAAACTATACTTTTATTGCTATCAATGTATTGTGTTGAAGTCTTCCACCAAAGCGTCAGTTGCTGATTTTGAGAAGCCACACTTCTTAATACCGTAGGGAAAAGATCTCCATGAGGAAAGTGGAAACACAGAGCAAGCACAAGGACTGAAAGGGAGAGGAAAAAGTTTTATGCTGTGGAAGCCAAACGAGAAGGAAGGTAGTAAAGATTTCGCAGAAGACTAAAGCATACAGGCTGCGGACTTTCTAACAATTTTACTTATGTCAAAACACTCAAAGTGGTAAAAACAACAACAAAAGACTGACAAAAAAAAAACACCAAAAGAAAAGAAGGACAACAGCTAAGAAAAATCACATAATGACAGATGTGTACTGAAATTACAACTGAGTCAGAGGGGAAAAAGCATGAAAACTCTCCTTATTGACATTATATATTCTTGTTTCTTACTAGAATCAATTCTTTCACGTCTTTCCTGGTGCAAGAACTCAGCAGAGAGTGGCCGAGTGATTTTATTTTTTACCATAATTGGTCTGACAGGAATGTACATTTCAGCATTATCTTTTCTTTTTGCCGAGAGAACTCGTAGTGGCTTCACTTCTGCAAGATAATAAGGGAACAGAAAGAATCAACGTCAGAGATATTTAGAAGCAGCCAGCCAGGGAAAACATATTGGATCTTAACTGCTAAAATTTTGCCACTTCAATTATGCTGGCATAGTTAAAATTATAACCTCCATCCTCCCTCCCTTTCATTGATACCGTTCTATTGATGTAGAAGTACATATGCATGCCTTGCACTGACTTAGGGAAACAAAATGAAATATATCATTATAAGGTACCAATATATCTAATCTGTAACAGATATTTACCTGAATTACTGTCAAGAGAAGCAAAAATAAAAAAAAAGAAGTCCTGAGTCACTTATTAACACAGTCATACCAAAATAAATTCTTCAAATACAGACTAAAATGTTGCCTTCTTTAGCAGTTTTAACAGAAGAGAGGGTTGCCTAGTGTAGTTCATAAGAATCATAGAATCATAGAATGGTTTGGGTTGGAAGGGACCTCAAAGATCATCTGGTTCCAACCCCCTGCAGAGCACTTCTTCACTTTTTTATTTGAGAATTAGGAATGCCTCCATTGTTTGCATCGCAGCTTTGAAAATACTCTCTGGAAAAAACAAAAAAATCACATCCTCTCCCAAAGATCTTGTTCTCACTGCTGCTCCATCCCTTGATCCCATCTCTTCTTCTGCCACCTCTCCCCATTCACACTCCACTCCCCTCTATGATAGTGAGAGGAACATTCCTTTACTCAATTTGTTCAAAGATTGCTCCTCTTAAGCTAAGCAATTAACTATGGATAAGGAAAAAAAAAAAAAGAAAAACCAAAACAAAACCCAAACCAAATGAATGTACCTGAAATGTGTAGGGAGGGAATTTTGACAAATACTGAATGTAGGTCAAGGTCTGGTTTCTGCCTGAACTCTCTGCCTTTAACAAGCTAAACATCTTTGAGACCTAGTGACTGGTTTGGGGTTTGGACATTGAGGTGTCCAAAGGAGACCTGACAAAAAGAAGTGGCTCATAGCCAGATAGATTTGCTTTCTCGAATTAATACATCTTTCCCCAGGGCTGAATAGCACACACTATGACGACAAATAGCCAGCACCCAGGATGTGAAATGGAGGAAGTTGAGACTGGGAAGATTTGGCTGCCTGGATTACTGCAAAAACAGTTCAAAAATATATTAAAAAAAAATTATAATCTCTTGAGAAATCTCACAGACAGTCTGAGACAATCTTAGTTCAAGCATCTAGGCCTGGAGATGCAAGTGTGTTAACCAAGGCTGTCTATATCTATGTCTTCACACAAAATTTCTTAACGTAGTAGTAAGAGGATGCAAGTCTCCCAAATCAGGAGATTAAAACAACAAGTTTGCTGAAGAGCATGAAAACTAATGAGAGTATGGAGTAACCATTACTGATTAACCAGCAGCAACTCCCTTAAAAGTAACGCTCTCCAAGAATTATCATTATTATAGTACTGTAGTAGTGTACAATGCACAGACTTACTACTTTGATCCTGGTTGAACTCCAACACAGTAAGAGCACCAGAATCAAGGCCAGAGCATCTCCCAGCATCCTGATGTTCAGAAGCTTCTTTCGGCAGTGATCTACTGCTGTGCAACTGAAGGCCTCCAAAGCTTGTAATTGTTTCCTCAGTGGGAGATGGTTCTGAAAACACATCCTCTTCAACAGAGTCATAATCATCACTAAGAGAGTCTTCTTCCATCTTTTTCTCTTCTACACTGAGTTGCAAGCTTCTTCTCAATTTCTGGTACAATGCAAACAGATTTGTCAGAAAAGCTGAAATGTGTTTTAAAACAAACCAATATGACTGCCTCTTTCTCCCCCAGGGGAAAGAAAAATCTTCTCATGAACTCAGACCCACGATACAGCTAAAAACATTCACATTCCTATGTCGTGTTTTCACCCCTCTAATGAGGACTTGTAAAGAAAAATCATCCTACAACTGCTTTGTTCCTTCTTATCAGGATCCTTGTAGGAAAATTCTGTAGGCCAAGGAATTTTCATGTGCAAACCCAATTTTTAGGAATAAGTTACAAACAGGAAGTAAGTAACGGAGCGGGCAAGGGCATGTATTTTTCAGTCTCACTCAGTTAGATTATCGTATCTTTTGGCTTGCTATTTGAAGATTAGCTGGAATCCAGATTTTCCAAATGCCTTCACAAGACTGCAAAGCTAAAGTAATAGCAACTTCTTCATAAGCAATTGGATAGACGATAATACTCCTGTCTTGTACACATCTGTACTTTAAAAAAATAGTAGAAAAGAGCTGTGGTCTAATGGACCAAGCTTCCAGTTTGCATTGATTTTTTTAAGTGGGCACACTGTAACAGGATTTTATGCAAAAATTAATCTATTTTGAAATTTACTGTGGAAAAAACGGCCCTGCCTCTCTCAGCATATTGCACAAATAGCATAGATGAGGCTGTACAGCCTTGTGTTTTTATGAATGCAAAAGAAAAAGACCTTGCATACCTTAAAGACTTTTTTTTCCTAATTCATTGGTATTAGAGTTTTGAGATAAGTATAGGTAAGAAAACTGTATGAGTAAAATGAAAACCTGAGGCTATCCTAGGTACAAATGAACTGTGACAGTGTACGTTCAGTTTGCAGTGAAAGCTTCAAGCTCCTCTTCTGCTACAGATTACACCTGTTGGGAAATCCATGTTGACAGAAACATATTACAAAGAGCGAGCAAACTTGGGTTCAGAAGAGGGTCTATAAGCAACCTGAGGCCTGATACTGAGCATGTCTTTATGAGAGCCAAGACTAATATTTCCAGGTATTTGGCAGGTAATTGTGCAGGTTTTCTTTTAGTTTTCAAACCTCATGACATCTGCATTGTAACAAGACATTCAAGAAAACACATTATAGCTTCAGGAAAACCAGAAGTATTTCCATCCGGGATACAAAGAAAAGTGGGGTTTTGGTTTAAAATTATTAGTTTACTACTTACACATAGATTATTATAAATACCCATCACTGTGCTGTTACTGGTTTGTAGAGCAAAAAATATCATAAGCTCAAAAGCAACATAAGAAAGGTAGAAAGAAGCAAGCTAGGAAAATATGCTTGGGAAGTTTGTCTGGTGTCAGTGGGAAGATCTGTGGACAGTTTCATATCTAGATGCTACTTCACCACCCAGAAAAGCTTTATTGATGTCATTAATTGGTTAGGCAGAAAAACATTAATAAATTTTTGTTCATTTATTAATTTTTTTAAGGACAGGACATTTGCGAACTGTGCTAGAACAAACTGCAATTAGTAACCAAATGGAAGGTTGACCTGTCAAACAACAGAGTCAATACAATAACAGCCATTGATGTTATCATTGATTATAGTATTTTTAAAACTTCGCGCTGGCTTCTGTAAGGTAAAACAATGACATGCAACAATTTTAGCACGATTATTCAAAAACCAACCTAAACCCTGCAAAAGTTGTTCAAGCTTTCTCTAACCTGACAGCCAAGAGTGACATTCATATGGACAACTATTAAGTGAACTGAAAGAGTCTCCTTGCATGAAATACCTTGGTTCCATCTAACAGAGACAATATTCTACCTCTTTAAAGTAGGACTTCACATGTTATGCTGTTGTTGACTGAGAGTAGATTTTCAAAGCAGTTTTACTTTTTCATTTTTTCCTTCTTTATGTCACATCTCATCAACGTGAAATCATCTAGTGAAAGAAACACTATATGCTGGGTTTGCATACTGTAGTCAAGACTGATACTTGGGCTTGTTCACATTTCAGCTGATGCTACCATAAACAATAGAAAGCAACTGCCAGTTGTACCTGGGAATAACGGAGAGGATCATCACCATTTGTCTCCACATTCAGGCTTTCATAAGGCTCAAAATCCTCAGAGTACTCAAGAGGAGGTTTAATGCAGAGTTTACCCCCGCTTTCTGTTTTAATCTCCACAGTTTTCTGTTAAAAGAAGCATTCAAAGAAATTACATGTCTCTTGTGCTATCAGCAGTATAAAAAGAATAATCAACACGTTTTTCATAACAGTATCTAGATCAAGTAACACTCTTCCCCTCTGCTCCATAGAAAGTTCCTGTCCTCCCTGAGCTCACCGTTGGGCCCCTCCATTATGGTTCAACTGCCCTAGTCAAACTCCCCTCCTGCTGCTGCCATCCCCAGAGTGGGCCAGGCCCAACACACATCAGGCGTTTGGCAGCAAAGTGAGTGCTCATCAGGGTTCAGCCCTACAGCCCACCAGGTAAGTGGAAAAACGATAGGAGGAGGGACATAGCAATCAACAAAACAGCTGAAGTGGAATCACTTAAAGCACAGGCATGTAAAGAAGCGCTGGTGGAACAACCTTATGGCAAAAGCTCTCAAGCCTCTTCCGGGGAATCGGCCCACCTGGGTGCCTCTCTGAAATGCATCTACACTAACGGGGAACAAACCCATCGGGAACAAGCAGGAGGAGTTAGAAGCTCATATCTGTTACAGGGCCATGACCTCATTGGGATCACAGAGGTATGGTGGGACAACTCACAAGACCGGAGTGCTGTGATGGATGGATACAGGCACAGGCTCTTTAAGAAAGACAGGCTGAGAAGGTGACAAGGAATTGTCATCCTTTATGTGAGAGAGAGGTGAAATGTATGGAGTTCTGCAAGGAACAGGTCAGGAGCCAGTCGAGAGCTCTGAGTCAAGACTAGCAGGCAGACCAGCATGGGTGCTGTTTTCGTGGGTATCTGCTATAGACCCCCTGATCAGGAAGAAGTAGATGAGGCCTTCCTCAAAAAACTGGAAGAATCTGCAAGTTCAAAGACCTTCGTCCTCATGGGGTACTTTAACAAAGCCGACACCTGCTGGAAAGACAACACAGCAGGGCTCAAGCCATCTAGGAGATTTCTAGAGTGCACGCAGGATTGAGAAGCCAACAAGCAATGGTGCTCTGCTGGAGATGCTGAGAGCGCTGGGACACTCCAGCCTAGGGAGGAGAAGGTTCTGGGGGATCTCATCAATGTGTATGAATACCTGAAAGGTATCTGCTCATTGACAGGACAAGAGGCAATGAACACAAATTAAAAAAAAAATAAAAACAAAACCAAAACAAAATGACATTCCATCTGAACACAAGAAAAAAAAATTACTGTGAGGGTGATCAAACACTGGAACAGGTTTCCTGGAAAGGTTGTGGAGTCTCCATCTGTAGAGTATTCTGAGGGAGCTGAGTGAGGACACTGACACGATCAATGTGATCTAACAAGTGAACCTTTATTTCCGTGTTTCCAGTGCAATTTATAACCCTCGACCACACCCAATAAATACTGATTGGCTTCATCGCAAATAACGGCCCATAGTCCAACAAGACTGGCCGCATTGCGAGTCATGTTCAAGTCACGTTCACAAATGTTCACACCCATCTTCTTCAAGAAATTAAAACTGCGTCATTAATGGCGGCTGTCACTTCTCCTGCACCTGAAAGATGTCCATGCCCCCTGCACTGGAAGTTGTTTATGCTTTCCGCAGTTCTGGTACGTCCCAGCTCAGGTTCTCTGGAAAGGCTAGATTGTTCACATGTCCCTTATTTTGTAGATATCCTTCCACAGTATTCAAAACCTGACTGGACATAGTCCTGGGCAACCCGCTCTAGCTGACCCTGCTTGAACACAGGGATTGGACTGGATGATCTCAAGCGTTCCCTTTAAATCACAATAATTCTATGATTCTGTAATGTCTATGTATGAAAATGACTACTTGAAGTAACTGCAATGTTTTGAAGATGTATTACTCTTATGTATAATACCATGAGGGGGAAATGTTATGCCACAAGTATTCAAGCACAAAGATTCCTTTGCCTTTGTAAATGTCAGACACGGCTGCAAAAGTGGTTCAAATTGATTTGTTTTACTTCATAATTAGGATGCAATCAAAGTATGCACACTGTCAGTTACACAAGCATGGCTACAGAGGGATAGAAGATTTGAGAAACTCATCTTTCCATACACAGAATTTCAGTACTCCAAAAGATAACAAAAGAGAAAGCAGGAAATGCATATACCTCTCTCAAGGAACAAAGGTATCTGTAAGTAACTATTACTCCTCACTTTTAAACTCTGGTGCAGACATACTCCTTATGAGGAAGTCTCATAAGTGAGCAATGGGAAGAGGACTGTTTAATTTCACATGGTAACATGTGATCCAGAAGTCCGTGCAATGATATCAAATTTATTTATCTGGTGTTCATACACTCCTCTACCATTTTGTAAGTGCCAGGAGCAGAGATGTCCCAGAGAGAATATCCTAACGTAACCTGGCTTTTGATAGAAAGTGTTCTTTCAATAAGTCTATCCTCCCGCCTCATAGCATACCTTAGCACAGCCTAAGTTTGACAGTTTTGAGCATGAATTGCTAGGTCCTCTAGCTATCCAAAAAACCCACAGGGAAAATTACTGGGAAAGTAAGCTGCTGTCTGGCACAACCTGCATCTTACTGGTGCTCGCACATTCCCTTAGCTAAGTACTTCCAGAAGTTCATTAAGGTCCTGTGAGTCTGCTGTCCTCCCGTCCAACTGGATAAAAGACTTAAGGTATCATTCTACGGTAGTCTTAAGTAGTAGCTAGTTTTTAGTATAGCTACCTATATTTGGCTAACTTTCCAATCCAGAGGAGATACCACCTTCTTCACTTGGCTCTTGTGATCAGAATGACATACGTTACGACTAGCCACATATATGGCAAATTCAGCAAACAAGTTCTTGCAGTATGTAAGCGGTGATCTACTGAGAGAAATAGTGGCTGAGAAAATTTATTCAACTAAGCAGGAAGGGTGATAAATAAAGTAATGCAGCCTTAAAACTTGAACGTGCAATATTTGCTGAAAGAAAAGAAAACCTGCATGACATGAACGCTTGACCTGCAGTGACACAGATCCCTGATCCTAAGTCACTCAAGCACAGGCTGGACAACCAGCCAGGGCAACTGCTAATCAGGCAGGGTAATGATTCGGGTGACATGTCTCAGTTGTTCAGAATTCACATTTGTTCTGTTAATTCAGTCATACTCCTTGACAGGTTAAGTCAGATCCTTCTTTAGGCCAAAAGGAAAAGACCATTGGGGTTTCTCCAGTGAACCAACAACTATGCGCCTAATGGCTCCAAATTTCTTATAGGTAGGGTATTCTTATTATCTATATGCATTTTTCTCTCTTCTGATTGACAAGAATCTGTCACAAATTACAACTCAAGCTATGCAAATAAGAGCTCTGTGTCCCTTAGTACTACTGCAGGGTAGAGAACAGCAGTGACAGGCAGGGATGTATCTCCAAAATGAGATACTCCATCCTTTGCACTAGATAAGCTCTCTGGGCTTGCCATCAGAGATGTCAAGCAACAGCTATTCTGCTGGAGGACATATTGAGCCAATCATGTCAAGGCTACCAAGGTTTTTGTGATGGATGTCACTGAAACCAGACCTTTTCAATGAGATTTGCCTCTTTAGGCTTCTAAGTAGACACAAAACTGGTCAGGGTATCATTTCACATTGTCACTCAGTATCCGGACCAAACCAAGGCTCAGATTCTACAAGAGCCCCAACTGACCACTATCTACTAGTTGCAACCAATTTCTCCTAAAATTATTTATGATCTAAAAACTAGTTCAAAGATGCATTCTTTCAAACTGTTTGTTACCTGAAGCCAGCCTCTGCGCTGTATTTTGCTTGGTGCAGTCTGCGTGTTGTGTTCTTGCAACCCACTCCTTTGTAGCTGGGCTGCTTTTTCAGAACATAGAGACAAGAATTAGAAGACAGAAAACAGAAATGCGGTGTTGGACAATATACACCTCAGTTCGCATTCTTCCCCCCACCCCCCCCAGATGAGGGCAGAAGTGTAAGTCTTTGACACGTGAATAGTATCAACAGCTGAAAAGGCATTCCTCTGCAGGTGCTGTGGTGGATTAGGAGCAGGAGTTTTGAACCTCTTCGGGCACAGCCATCATCACACATATTCAAGAGAATCAGTTGTTTAAAGATACATTAGCTCAGCAACAAGTGAAGCCCCACATTCACTGATAGGACAGTATAGAGATATGTTCTAGAATAGGGGTGCACTCATTCTAACTCTGAGCTGGGTAGACAATAAGCCGTCTTAGGAAGCCAGTTGAGCCCAGAACCCATACTACTGAAGGCAGACTCTGACAGACAACAGGTGAACAACAGGTGATATACTGGGTTTACAAAGGAAGTGTTGCATTCACTCTCAGACTAAGGAACCCTAAGGTATTGGCAGGTTAAACAGAATGTACTAGGTATTTAACATACTGTGCAGAGAAGGATTCTTCACGTACAGGTTTTAAACGAAGGACAAACAATCATTTTCCTTCATTTCTCAGGCAAGGAAGAGTTGGTTCCAGAAATTCTGCAAAAATTCTGTGTATGGTCAAGGAGAACTAGGGGTTCCTGTGCTGGAAATAGTCCCAAATTACAGTGGAATAATGAGAAGATGCTTTGACTGAGACAAAGAGACAAACATCTCACAGGTCTCATCAGCATCCTCAATGAAGCAAGGGCATCACCAACACTATCAATAGCATCCTAAATAAAGGGATCTCATTTCCTATGTCCAAGACAGATTTACAGCGTCCATTTCTTCTCGATGGAGAAAAATAGCTGATGCAAAACCTTTTTTCTTTAAGCCATAATTTAATGGTCACCCTAAGCCAGCAGAAACTGGCACTACCAATAAAAGAAGCAGTCGTCCTACAAAGGTCATAGAATCACTGAAAGATTTAGTTTGGAAATAATCTCTGGAGGTCACCATTCAAAGCAGAGCTTACTTCAAAATTAGATCCGGTTGCTCATTACAACTCTCAATACCACATTTTCTTTTTTTCGGTTGGACAACCCTACACGCACCTGTGCAGTGAACTGTTCCGGGAATGGATATGGGCAAGTTTTAATTGAATAAAAACATCAAAGAGATTACTTCTAATTGTAGTCACTTGTGCAATCTGCTTCACCATGAGATTGCACAAATGCTAGTACAAGCAGATAGGAGAGAACAGGAGCAGGGTAAGACGGGGGGAACAGTGTATGCTTATGTCAATTTAGAGTGATCATAAAATTACAAAGCATACAAATGACAAAGATGTTCTATTGCTTCAGCACAAAGTATCTGTCTCTCAGGCCTGAAACAAGACTAGAACAGAGAGGAAAAGGAATGGACTGCTCCATGGAAGAAAAACAGCCCTTCCAACTAGAGCTCCTGCTGCTCCATTGGGCTATTCCTAACTCCAGAAACTCTGCAGCCATTAGCAGATTGCTGATTGCTATGGGGCTCTGCTGGCACTGAGGGTGAACTGTCCTGAGATTACAATGCTAGAACCATGGTCTGATTCAGTCACTGCGTTGGAACAGAATCAGAAGCATCTTTCACTTTCACTTCCTAAGCAATCCATCTCTCCTAAGCAACTGCCCAGAAGGCCACTCATGCTACAAACGTAGGCAGGAAAAGGGGACAGGGTAGTGCTCACACTACTACTGCTGCGTGTTTGGTTCTCAGAACTGTTTGAGTATTATGTGATGGATTCATGTGACCGGGTCTCTCTAAACCAGGAAGAACAGTAGTTCGAATCCTAGGCAGAATTTGATGCAGCTGAGCTCGTCGTCTGGGCTACAAACACTACTTTAAGACAAAAACATCCCTCTCACGGGACGGATGGGATGTGAATGCCAACCATTGCCTGTTTTGGCACTCAAATTAGGTCCACTGGTGTCATTCACTTGGAGTCTGGAGCTGGCAGTGCCTATTCTAGTAGCCAAGACTGAGTAGTAAGTATATTGTCAAAATATTAGTCATAACCAAAGGAGATCCCACATTACCCTTAAGCCACGTCTTTTGTGACCACACTGACACTCACTGAAAGTACATACATGGTTGTGAAACTATGTCTGCGTTATACCCCCAAAGAAACAACACTTTACCTAGGCACCAGCTTCACTACTTTATAAGCCCATCATTTACATGAATTCATTTACTAAGCTGAAGCATAAAAAGTTTATCAATCACTATTATCATAAATTACTCCTAGGGAACACAGACAAAGAAAATAGTCCAGACAAACAGATTTATGATGACACTTTCAGGAACCATAAAGAGGGATTTGTGCCCATTCTGTATTATTAAGTATCACACATTCCTAATTTTTCAGTGAAGACTAATCCTATAGACAGATGCTTTAGAAGTAATGATGCAATAACTCTCATGGGAGATGGATAGGGAAGAAAATTCAGTGCTGTGTCTCAGCTAGAAATCATTTCTGTAAGTAAAATCATATTCAATCATTGAGAAGAAATGCCTAGAAACGAAACAGACCATAAAATTGCGAAGGTACTACCCCCAGGGAAAAAGCTTATACAGATCACCAGTGATTCCCACTCTGGACTTTAGTGGCAAAATCAAATGGAAGAAGAAAAATGACAGGATGATGATTCACTTGACATCTTTCACTGTAGTTACATGTGTTTAAAACAACAACACTGGGTAGCTAAGAAACAGCAAAACACTGAGTTCCCTTCTGCAGAGATAATGCTACTGTCCCTAAGCTGATGGAGTTGAGGAAAGGACCAGAGACTGCCACTGAAGTTTTTAAAGGTCCCTAAGACAAGCTAAAGTATTCTATCTTAAATGAATCAAATGGCACTAAGTGCCCACAAAAACAAACAACTTTGGTTAAGCTTAGAGATAACAGCTGCCCAGCAGAACTCTTTGAGGAAATTTCTCTTGACAGAGCTCTATTACAGCTGCTGCTACAATACCCCTGCACAATTTTTGGACCAAAAAGTCAAAGACGTTGTTTTACACCCTTTTTAGCTACCTAAAGGTGTATCATCCCAGTGTGACAGAGCACACCATTTCCTTCATGTTCCAATACCCAAGAACATGAACTTTTTTGTATCATTACACACAAGTTTTCACTTTCATACAGAACAGCAAAACTAGGTGACTAGCTAGTTCCCCATCACCATCCCATATAACTTGCAAGAAATTACAAAGCCTGAACACACTTAAATTTGGAAACAATTAGTATGTACCCAGTGTAGCAGGAAAACAAAGAAAAACAAAAAGAGATTGAGGTTAGAATCACGGTTAGAACAGTTACTGAAAGAAAAGTTAGTTTCTCGTATTGTTGAGATTAATAAACTTCCAATCGTAATAAATTTTCATATTAGGTAACTTTTTTAACCCTTTGTCTTAATTTTTAGGTGAAAATAAAGCTTAAGCAGGCACCACCTACACAGGAACAGATTAGAAACATAGACTCTAAGGCAGACAGGTTGTAGCAAGCGTGAGGATAACAGACTACGGTTGGTAAACTACTTTACACAGGGATTTAGTGAAATCAAATTTTCATTATGCTAAATAGATTAGAAGGCCAGTAAGCTCACACTTTATACCTTCATACATGCAAAATTATTCCTGTCACTACATTGCTCTGTATGACAGACAGGCTTAAATTAGAAACAAAATACACATTCTCAACTAAAGCCAGCTGATTACCGGCAGAAAATGGTAGCTTTACTTCAAATATTTAAATAAAGATTAGCTGCCTTTTTAAAACAACTACTATAGCTTAAACATAATTTATGAGCTTAATGCAGCTATTACTGGATATAATTTGATTATAGTCTATATTATCAAATGTCATTTGTCTGCAGGACACCAGACTTGGATATCGTTGAAGTCCATGAGATTTTAAAGCCTATTGATGGTGTTATGTACCAGAGAAAGGTACACCATTGATTTACACCGACAACTTACATACACTTCTAATGTCCCAGTTCTAGTTACAACTGTAACAAATGGAGAGGTGGGGAAGTTAAACTTTGGAATTAGTCAGGGATCAACTGAGAAATTGATAGGGTGTTGCAGAGACCGCTCCTTACATACAACCAGCTTAAGCACTCTGATGAAAGAGTCCCATGGAATTTCATCCCACCAAACTCAAATGCCGCTGTCTCTTTATCACAGCCCAGCCTGTGGCCTCCCTGACTGAATTACAGCTCTGATGAGTAAATGTTTAAAACAGTTCTAGACTGCCATCTCTGTAAAACTTTCACGTAACTCACCATTTGTCCTGGTAGTTTTTGTCTCATTTTTTAGGTAGCCATGTGAGTTGATTTTTCTGCGGTAATTCCTCAGTTCCGAATTAGCTCCATTCAGGTACAGAGAAAATCCTTTCTCTAACTGCTCCAGTTTGATTTGTATAGGATCCTTTCTTTTCAAACGTCCCAGTAGCCTGAAGTAGAAAGTATAACGATTCACCCTTATGCAGCGCATATACAGATGGTCAGATTAGCAATAAATACAAACACAATGTCACAAAACTGAAAAATATATTCCTAGTTCAAATAACAACTTCAGAATACAGCTACCAGGACCTGTTCCTGTTCTGTAACGCTTGCATGAGTACGCACACGCTGTGACATATGAATTGACCAAGCCTCTCCCTTCTGAGACTTTTTCCATGTTGTTTCTCATTTCGTATTATTTTTTCAATTTGGTATTCAGTATATTTAACCTTTTTTCTTGATAATTTTTAAGTGTTTCATTTAGAATTTCAAAAAGTTTAAAAACAGTTGAGCTCTTTTCAAGAAAAAAAAAATTACTTGCATTTTGAAACCTAAGGGAGAAAGCCCTCAATCAATAGTGCAGTTAAAGATACCAGAAAATTAAATTCTGGTTAAAATAATATTTAAAAAACACCCCTCCCCAGGCTCAATTTCAGTGAAACACCTACCCTCCCTCTTCCAAGTCTCATCTTCCCTCCTTTCGCCATGCATTACAATCTGTCCATCCTCGTTCCTTCGGTGAGGTGACACGTAGGCCAGGAGGTTGGGGTCACGTGGGTGACAATTGGCACCTGCCCCTGCACGCTGCTTCCTGGTTTCCCCCGAGTCCAGGGCAGGCCAATCCACAGGCCAAAGTCCCACAGGGCTTCTGACACGAGTCACCTTTTTCCAAGGGTGTCCCCAGCCATGTGCCCGGCAGTCCTCCAGGCTCCACAGGAGCACCCACCCCCTGCAGCCACCACTCTCTTAAACCCACCCCAGGCGGCTCTGACTGGCGATGCTTTGGCATACGACGGGCTGTTCCTGTTAGTTTGGGATCTAGCAGGAACAGGGTGTGACTGGCCCAGGGCCGTTACCTGACCTGCTCCCACACAGGCTACTCTGCACCCCCTGCTAGCCAAAACTGCCAGTGATGTCCAATCCACAAATGCAGCCAGCGTGCCTCTCCTGCAGGGTACAGTTGCAGGAGAATTACAGTTGCTCTAAGAATTAGAGCTCTGATAATAAGGATGCAAGTTGTTTCAGTCATTAAATAATCTGGTTTTAGCCTTTTCTAAAACTGCTTTAGGAGACTATATACAAAAGAAACTCACGTTCACAAAAACTAGCTCCTCTTTTAACATAATTGTGGCATTTCTTCTAACATAACCGTGCCTTTTGTAGGTTTTTTGGGTCTTCTCAACAAATCATTCAGTTTGTTACAGAATTTGAGTAAAAATCTTACAGCTTGTGGTAAAGGAGGGAATCCAGCAAGAAAGTTCTGTAGACCCTACGAAATTGGTCTGTCTAGGGTACAATGACAGAAATGTTCATACGGACAAAGATTAAAAGAAAGGTTTTAAACTTGTCTGAAAGATACTGAAGCTTGCAAAAGCAACTAGATGTCCTCATCTCCCACCTTAGCAAAACCTGACTTTGCACATTTAACTTTAGGAGCTTTTGTATGCAATCTGTATTTCTGACCACAAAACTTAGAACAACATCCTCACACAGCATGAGCTACCTGTTACTTCTGAATTGAGAACTTCTTGCCTGTAAACAAAAACCTTCCCTGTAAGCCACAGAAACTATAACTATTTTATTAATAATTTTATCTCTCTTTTAAGGTATGCTGAAGAAATATTGTGATCTCCTCCAGAAATAAGAACTTTGATGTACTTAGCAAACAAAGGAAAGAGAATCACCTGAATGTTTTGAGACACAGCGAGTCAGACTTTGCATCACAAGTTTAACAACCAAGTTTTTAAACTAATATTCACAACCGCTGATATTAGATGCTGTACTAGATAGTACACAACACATATTACATACTTGCTGGTGGTAACAATTGTGTATCTCACCGGTTTCTCTGCTGAAGGGCTATTAAGTATTCGTCATGTTTTTCATCAAAGTCAGTGACCATGTCCTTAACATAGAGCTGAAATGAGAATACAATTGTCACATTTAAGTATAGAAATTATCTATTATAGAGTTTTATCGATTATAGAGTACTATTGGGTTTTCACTCTCAATAGACTGCATTTATAGAATGCTATAAACTGAAAAAAAGTTCCTCCTTCAACAAAGCATAGAACTGGCAGTGTAGTAAACAGAGTTCCTGAAGAACAGAGGAAACGTCACTTGTTTCACTTATTTTTCAGAACCCTTCACAATCTGCTGAAGAGCCTAAAAATACTAAAAATGGAAGGCACACAGTGTAATGAGTTTGTAATCCAAGAACTGACAAGTACCTCAGCTCCAAGGCAAAGCTGAATGGGCCGTGCCCAAAGCCCAACTGTAGGACAAGTTTCCTGAATTGCTGCTGCTCACGAGGCCAGTTAATTCTACAGCTCATTCACTGCAGAGGCTGTCTACAGTTATAATGTTTAATTATTAAAGATTTTACCTTGCTTGCCCTTCAGGAAATACGAACTTCTCCAGCAATCCCCACCACGTACCCCAGGGCTGCTGCTGCAGTTGTGGTAGGGTGCCTTCTTACACACTCAGAAGTTGAAACTTGCCCCCCAAACGTTTAATGCAGTTCTGTACCAAAAAAAAAA